CTTTATCCTTCCTCTCAAAAGTTGTGGAGGCCCATTCTTCGTCTTTGCATTTGCCATGCATGGCAGCTTTTAAAAAAAGTTTAGAATATGTATGCAAAAAATCACTTATTTCATGCTGCACGGCTGGACCTTTTTCATGCTTTTACTTTTTTTCTAATTTAGTTTAGCATGTGCCTCGTGGTGGTGTGAGGTGAACCACAGGCTTATTTTACTTCAAGAATTTTGGACACTTTGAGGTTTGAACCTAATGAATCACACGTGACAGCAGACTCATTAATCATTAAGAGTTGTTGATGGTTAAATTGAATTCTACTGACAAACTATCACCGCAGCAATAAACTAAAAGAAATGTGACATTAAAAGACTATTAAGAACCTTTTGAATGAAGCAGAAACCCAGTTAACATCTGTTTCCTCCGTTATGAACAAACAGCAGACCTGTTGCTTTTGACTTCCGTTCTTCATGTGTGGCACAAGCAGTGACGCTTCTCCATGTTAGCAAAATGCATGAGCATTAACAGCAGTGTACAATGCTTCAGTGAAGACTAAATTAGACCAATCGAAAGTTCAAAGAGCAAAGGAGAGATTAATGATTTTTTAATGCAACATGGAGTGGTGCAAAAAGCCTTTCAACAAAAATGATGTGTTCAAAGAGCAAACCCACCTCGAGCTCAAAAACCAAAGTATAGTCTTGACTTCATCTTCTTACTGAGGAATTTCTGTTTAAATACTATATTTTCAATTTTAGAGGCTAAAAAATTCCAACATGAGGGAGCGCCTCATCACTGTACAAAACCTAAAAGCTTGAGTCAGGATGTCTACAATTGTATCCTCACAAGGGAAATAATGTTTTGGGGCCATTTTTATCACTGAATGCCAGAGATGATCAACAGAATGTCCAGCCAATATAATCTGTTATTTTGTCTGGTGATCCTTAAAGAAACCCAACACAACAGGAGGCTATCTTTTTAAGATGTAAGGTGACTTTGGGCGAGTGGAGAATTTGGGACTTGTAAAAACAGCTTAAACAGAAAATGTTTTTAATCCCAATCCCAATTGTGGGTGGTTATTAATACACAGAAAATGACCACATCCAAAATATCAAATCATAATGCAAATTATTGTTAACCACCTCCTCTTTACATTCTGAAGGACACTTCAAATTTACCTTTGCTAAGATCTTTCCACACAGGAGTGTAAATCATTTACAGCTGCAGATTGAATGAAGATGAAGCATTATGGACTACATCAGATTATTGAAATATTGTTTCACAGACACTGGATGCAAACCTGTAAGAAGATCTCAAAGTATTTAAAATGATAATACTAACCAGTTGTTATCAAACCCCAAAAATATGATTCTTGAAAGAATCTGCACGTGACATCGTCTGCCATCATTACCACACACATTAACACCAATAGGTAAACCTTGGAGAACAGAAAGCTCTCATTGATAGAGGCTGATATTTGCCACCTCCCTCCTGATGTGTGGCACTGACAACTTAACCAGACTCCTAAATCTGCCCCAAAGGAAAGACGAGGAGAAAAGAGGTGATATTGGCCAGCGACAGAGACAGTGAAAAAGGAGATTGGAAATTAGGTGAAGCAGTGTAATAAAGAGATGAGAGCAAGGGGTAGTTATCATGCTGTGGTTCTTTATTCACTTTCTCCTCTGACCCTGAGAAAACCACTTATCCTCCATGCGGGCCTGGAAACAATGAACAGCCTAACGTGTAATTTAGAGAACAGAGAGAGTAATTGTCAACTGATTCGATTAACAAACTACATCATGAGACAGTAATGTGTATTTTGAGGCTCAGTAGCCATCATTTGTCTTATCTACATTATCAGTTATATTACTAATATCAGACGAGCACTTATATATTTTTTGGATGCAGTTGACAAACTTAACTCCACTGGAGTAAATCATGATTTACATAAGCTATGTTGTGTTTTGAAATGTTAGATATGACAACTTGATGATAGCTCTTTTTTTCAAAATGCTGTGAAGGTGAAGGTGCAGCTACAACTCAATGTGCACTAAAGAATCAATATCATGGACCGGGGATATCTACAATAAGAAAGCCCATTGTTTCGATGGAAGGCAAAAAATAAGTAGGGACGCAGTCCTCCTATTTGATTGTTGTAATTAGAATGAACATTTTTCTTTTATTGTTCTTGTGTAAATTGACATGTGTAATGCTTACAAAAATGGTATAGAGTTTAATGTGCCTGTGATTTCTGTTGAAGTAAAATCTTGAAAAAAGTGTAAAAAAACAACAAAGAGAAAAAGATGAATTATGTAAACCACTTATTTTTCAAATAATTTATAAAAATTCCCAAACCAGCATCAAAACATAATCACGACGGTCTTATCAGTGGTTTGATTTTCCGCTGAATTAATACCATCAGATCTTTTTTTCCATATATGAATCTAAACTAATGAACCACTAACGGCACCCCTGCACTGAGCGCTGATCAGCATGGCCAACACACACACCAGTTCAGTGCCTCACTCAGAAGCTCTGATTAACTGATTGGTCTCAGATCACAGCAGGTCACCATCTGCAATGACACGTTTTCCCAATTTTTAAAAAACTAAATCATATTGATGCTTTTGGCTTTATGGAACTATAGGTCATCAAATATAGCATCTCACTACAACATTGACCTCTGCTGTATTCATGTTTGTCAGCAGTAATTCCTTGTAGCCCTCTATTAAAAATCAATTACGTGAGCAGCTGTTTTTTTTTTTTTACATCACTCATAGCAAAGAAAACATCCTCTTATCTACATTAGCAGACAGGTGATGGGTGTCTACTCTTTGATCAGTCTGATGGGGAGTATGATGAAGAGATGGTAATTACAAATTGAAGCACAAAGTCAGTCAATACCTGAAGGCAAAATGTTGCAAGGATGTTGGGGTTTTTTTTTACCATGCCCCCGAGTCTGTTTTATACATATTCACACTGATAATCAACCCAAACACGCACTCACTCACTACACAGTTCAATACCAATTAAACCAATGAGATACTCCTTGGATGGTAGGAATTGTACTGAGAGAGAAACCATGTTTGTATGGAAGAAAACCACAAACTACAAACAGAAGTGGCCAACCTGGGATTGAAGCAGTGGGGCCATGAGCTGCAAACAGCACAGTGTGGCCTTGCTGCTGACAGCTGAAAATAAATGACATTACGGCTGAGAAATCTCACAAATTTCTGAGAGATAGGGTCTGAAAAACCAGAAAAAACATTCTAATGTCTCTCTGACTTTTCCTCAGTTTATACGTTTAAACAACAACTTGTGATTTACCAGTGGATGTTCTGCAAAAACAGTATGTTACTTCGAAGTCAAAGACTGTGCTTCGCCTTCATATACCTTCGCACATCCCAACAAACATGTCTTTTGCTAATTGACACATTTTTTATTGAGTCTCTGTCTTAGTTCATCTTAGTTAAGCTTATACATAACATTTACAACTAAGACTTCCACTCCATGTTTTAAAGGGCAAGTTCGTGATTTGTGGGATTGCACTTCCTGTTTACCCTGCAGTGGGTATTATTGTACAACAAATTAAGTTAATTGAGAAGGCAGAGACTGAGGAAGGTGACAGCAATTTAATCTAAGGTTAATACGCAGGTGTACTTCGCAGAGGCAGGGCTCATCAACACGGCGTAATAAAGAAGCTGCTTAATGGCACACTCCTCTGTTCATAACACTACTGAGAATAGAGGGCTGGCAGTTAAATACGTCTCCATGCTGAGTGCACAGATGGAGTTTATAACACTTTCTGAACACCGTGCGCTGATATCACTTGAGTCAGGCGGATGAAAAAGATGGGCTGGTGCAGCAGCGGGAGCTGGCGTCTCACATACTGAAGTCATAACGTTTTCCAAAAAGGCAGAAAAAATCAAGCAAGTGTCTCTGAAGGGCTACACAGAGGGTTGCACGATGGCATATTGAATAAAGGAAGATGGCATAAACAGTGTTTTAAATGCATTTAAATGTTCATTTAACGAGCTGATATTGCTCCTGTCCTCGTGTTACTGCTCCTCAGCTAAATGTCAGGACACCCATGAAAGCACAACAAAAATATTTATGTGGTAAAGAAAAATCTGCAGAGTTGTCACTGTTGTAGCCAATTTAATCAGAGCCTTCTTTACCAACAACACAGAGTACAAGTAATCAACAACTTTTTTGTTTTTGTTTATCTCTCCATTCACTGAAGAAATCAGGTGAATTTACCAAGTCATGGTCAGATTACAGATGCTTACACTGGGGCATCGGATCTTCCGGAAATCAAAGGGTACTTTAAAAAGAAACTGGAGCATTAGTGTCAGATGCTGTTGAGATTTAAGATTACATGACTTTTTTGTCCTTCCATTCTGAATATTATTTTATTGACAAAGCAATGCTATTCATTTTGCAAATATTCCCTTCAACTTGTTTTGAGATACCGGTTTAAAAATTGTTAGCATGCAGCAGAGACCTAAACCTCTGCCCCAGCTGCTCATTACAGATTGCAGATTTCTACATAGAAAATACATCATTAATCAAATGGTGTCTGATAGACTGGATCTCTGCTTCCAAATGAACTCACCCTGTGGCCGTCCCCTGACTATAGCTCCCTTTTAGAGGGACTTTGCAGTTGAAGAGTGTTCAGAGAGATAATAAGGATAAAGTACCCAGACAAAAGTGTGGAAGAAAATGTATTTTCAAACGTATTGTGACGTTAGACCTCAATTCTAATCGAGTGCATCTTTGAGTTTTTACTCTTTATTGAGTGTGACGACCCTTGGACTGTAAAATGCATTGAAATGGGACGCTGGCACTGCAGTATTAAATTCTAGGTCATAAAGTTTGAAGGTAACACCAGATGAGCCTGCAGCAGAGGAGGACTAAACACCCCTGTGTTCTTTCAGGTTGCAGCTTGAAGCGTGCGAATAATACCGTGGAGAAAGTGGAGGTATTACGCAAGTGTTTACTGGGGAAAAGTCAGGGGAACTGACCTCAGCCCACAGAGAGCGGCATATAAAACAGGCTGGGTCGGTGGTGAGGACGTAGTGAGCGATGGAAGGCGCTCTTACGAGATCCAGAAGTTGTTATTTCACACCCCAGAGGGATTTCCAGTCAGATGCATGACTAGTTTTTCGGATTCTCGGAAAAGGATGAGGGGTGTTTTCCTTCGCTACGTCTTTCTGTGGGCCACGCTGCAGCGGGGCTGCAGACCGGCCGCGGCGGTACCTGCCTCAGGTGAGTCCAGACCCCATGCTGCACCTTCCACCGGCGAACCCGGAACACGCAGCAGCAATCTTGAATCTTATTATTCGGGATCCAGATCAGTGCATGCTTTGCAGAAAGAAATGTTTGGGATTTTCTCTCCCACAGTGTGAGTAAAATATTTGAATGGCTGCTAATGACAAACGATGGATCGTTGAAGGAGCAGCAGGCAGGCAGGCCAGGACTATACCAGACAGGCTGATTTGAACTAGTAGGAGCTCCCATGGTGCCGATGGTGTATAATCTGAATAGTAATATGCAATCAGAATATCTTTCAAATCGAACCTGTTGGCTGCGAGATTAGATGGAAAGTAGATGGTTAGACTTTACCGGATTACAGTTCATATCAAATGTTGTTTGAGTAGGCACCTTTTACATTGTATAGCATTTAAAACAACAATCATTCAGATTTTATTTCCCAATAAAAAAAGTTGGAAATGTAACTATTCAAATGGGACACGCAGTTTTGCAGATACAATCCAACCAAGTCATTAAATTATTTTTTGATTAACTCATTATGGGAGTGTATTCAATGTGCCAAGATGAGGAAAGCAACACATTTCCCCTAAATGACTCCACTCCCCTAAAGCCAATGTGGAATGTTTGGGATTTTTTAATTACCGTTTGGTTTTATTCCTTCAACCGTAATTTGAGTTTTGATCAAAGATTCACTGGTTTACCATCTGCCCATTTGATGCTGCACTCATGCTGATTTCACAGCCTAAACTTGACAGGAGGCTCTAACATATGTTTAATACATCTGTGCTGCCGGGTGGCATGTGGCCTTGGCACAGGTTGAGGCCAGTTTTGTAAGAGATGACACCCTCACGCTTCCTGCACACATCACGCACCTTTCCTCTCTGGAATGCAAAGACAGAGCATTTCTGATGTCTTTCCAGACCCCTCTGACGAATTCTGTTTCCCCTTTTTCTCTAGAGGCATCTTTGTTTTGTCGAATCCGTATGTTATCGGTGTCTTTATAATTAAGTAGCTTTCATTTTAATATTAATTTGCAAGTTTCTCCATGATTTCTTTTTGATTTTATGCTGCTTGGTTTTCCACTTTCTCAAAGAAGCTTGGTGCTTGGGGACCATCAGGGACAGTAAAACAGAAGGTTTTTGGTCTGCACAGTGATGATTTCCAGGAGGAAATTATGCCAATAATATAAGACAATGGCTTTTTCCAGAAATTAGGGGGTCTCAGTCAGTGCGTTTTCATTTAACTAGAGATATCCCACTGTATCTTTTTAATACAGATTTTTGGTTGACGGATGCTTTTGGACATTACTGTTCCTCCACAATCTTAATTCCTCATTTGCATTCAGTGAAAAAAATTTCTGCCATGTTTTGATGATGTAAGATCAGAGCTTCTCATTGTTTTTACCTGTGTGTGAAAAACTCCAGCCCAGGAATATAATCACAGCTGAAAGATGTTTACTCCCGATATGTCATCTGTGAAAATTAATTGTTTTGCACACATCATTTACTGCTACATCAACAAACCTGAAAACGTTTGCTGCGTTCAATAGTGAGCATTTGCCCCCCCAGCAGCTTAAAATCCATAAGTCCAGGGTTTGAATTCTGTGTGGTTTCAGAACAGAATAAATTGTAAAAGGATCACACCTCTATAATAAACTAGCTTTCCTTTTTTTCTCCTTTGTTGTCTTCAGTTCTGAATCACTGTGAAGGGGACCTTCTTCTGTTGCTGGACTCTTCAGGAAGTGTTTCAAACTACGACTTTTATCAGTTTTTGTACTTCATCTCTGATCTGCTCCGCCCCTTTTCTTTGGGCCAAGGGCATGTGAGAGTGGCTCTGCTGCAGGTGGGCTCCAGCCCTAAGCTGGAGTTCAGCTTCGATCAGCACAACAACCAGGAAAGTCTGCAGACAGCTCTGCTGAGAGTCTCTCAACTGCAGGGAGATACCAACAACGTGGCCGCACTGGAAGTGGCCCACCGGATTCTGACAAAGACAGATCGGAACGTGCCAAAGGTTTTGCTGTGGCTGACCGATGGAGTGCAGCCTGGAGCCGTGGACAAGCCAATGTCTGAGCTGAAGGCACAGGGAGTGTCTGTGCTAATTGTTTTTAGCGTTTATGGAGATTACAAGGTGTTAAAACGTGTGGCAACGCCTCCTCTGAAATCCCACCTTTACTCTGTGGACATAGACAGCCTCGACATCATCACGGAGGAACTGAGGACAGCAATCGTCAGTATGTGTGAAGTTCATGATTGAAGATCGATATTATTCTTAGAGAGGAAAACAGATTTTTGATCATTCCAGTCTCTATATTTTCTCATTTTCCTCTGTCTTTCCTTCTCTTCTATCATTCCTGCAGAAATTATTTGTGCACAACAGCTGAACGTGATCCATTTGGCCTCCCATAGTGCTGTGCTACAGTGGAGTCCTGTTCTGACTGCAGAGACCGGTTACTACGAGCTGTCCTATAAGTCTGTAAGGACAAGTGGCACTGAGCTCAGAAAGACTTTGCCAGGCGATTCCACCATGACAGAGCTGACTGGCCTGCAACCTGATACTTCATACACAGCTTTCCTCCACCCAGAGTCCAATGAGAGGCTTTTCGGCAAACTGTCTGTGAGCTTCACTACACTTCCTGGTATGACATTTTCCAATTTAAAAACATATATTTCATACATTTTAAAGTAGGAAAAGTGTAGGAAATGTGGACAAATCCAAAGATTTGTAAGCCTCTCCCTCAGAGTTTTATGTATTTTGAGAGTAATTTCGTGGAAAATCAGGCATCTGTCTGCAAATTAGCAATTTATGGTAACACACACAACCCTTGAATTGTGCATCTACATATCATGTAGGGTTAAATATTCAAACAGAGGAAGTCTGGGGTTGTATTATCATGATCAGACAAGTTTTCCATCAAAACATAAGATATTCATTAAACTAAAAGCTTTGTGTTGGAGAAGAGTCATTTTGAATTTTGTTTTTTGAGCTACCAAGCATAACTTTCAAATAAGGGAGTGTGTGGTCCAAATGTGTTGTGAAAATGTGAAAATTCTAAATGTGGACAGGTATCAATTTCTCCTAATTTACTTAAACTGGTAAAACTCTTCTCATATAATGGGGCCTCTTTCTGTCCATCCTCAGATGTATTTAGTCCAGCAGAGATCTCCTTGTCAGAATTGGGCCCTCTTCAATTTCGGGTCACCTGGGGTCCCCTTCAACCAGACCGGGTGAAAAGATACAAAGTGGAGTATGGAGTTATTCCAAGCGGCCGCGTGCAAATTTTGACGTTACAAAGCCAGGCTGAATCCGCTTTACTGACCGGGCTGGAGCCGGGCAGTCAGTACCTAGTCACAGTCAGCGCTCTGCATGGAGACGGAAAGGAGCGGGCCATGTCGGTTAGGGCATGCACTGAAGAAGGTAAAGCAGCATTTTCTATCTCTGGGGATGATGTTGAGCTTGCCCAGTTGATCTGCCTGGAGCTCTTTTAGTTGTAATGGCAGTTTTTAGAGTTTGTTGTACTCTAAAACAACCATTTAAAGCGTCATTTGGGAATCATTTTTATGTGCTGAGAGTGTCAGTTTCATTAAAAGCAGGAAATACAAATCTTTGCTTCCTGTCTGTCCTGTGTTGTCCTGTAACAGCTCTGCCTGCTCTGGTGGACCTCCAGCTGGCCCCAGTAGAGGGACATGTGGCGCAGGAGATGCAGGCGGCATGGCAAGCACATACAGTTGGGTTGGAAGGCTTTTGGGTCAGCTTGGAGACGAAAAACTATCAACCCCCCTTTGCAGAGCCCTCCAAATCCACCATGTACTTACCCTCATCGACGTCTTCTGTTCGGCTCACCCGCCTTGCACCAAGCAGTCGAGTGTGTGTGTTTCCAGTCTACAGGTCAGGCCGAGGAGAAGGAATATGCTGCGCTGCCGGGGCACATGGGGGTTTGTTGGATTAAATATAGCCAAGAACTACTGCAAATGACTCTGTGTTTGAACCTAACGTTGACACTAGGAGTGAGTGTGAGATTACATGGTCGTTTGTCTCTGAGTGTGGTGAGCTCATAAGCTGTCCAGGGAGCACTTGGCCAGTTACAGCTGGGATTGCCTTCCTCATTGAATCAAGAGAGTGTAGATATTGAATTACTGCATGAATGAGTTCAAAGCTCGTTCATTAAAGTAGTTTAATTTCTCTTCATTTTGAAATATCCCAACAAATGTTAATCATCTAATATTTGTCAGGCAGATGGAACAGGAGATTTTGATGTTTGATAGATAATATCTTGAGGCAAATATTTTACTTGATGTAAATGGTAGTATTGCAGAACTAATTTCTTCAAACATATACATTTGGTTATGTTACTGTAGCATACATATAAGGATATAGTAAAAGTACATGTATCCATTTATTATGCATACTGCTTATTCCAAGTACATTTTTTAGGGGGGAAAGTTCAAACTGTTCAGTCATGGGATGTTCATAGTCTTCTTAAAGTTGCTCTTTATTTATTTTGAATAAGAAATTATAACACAGTATCTCATGTGAAAATACAAATTATCAATGCCAGATTTGATAAATGTGCAATGTCTCGTTTCTTAAATGAAGTAGTTGAATTAGCTAGAGGACTACTACTTCAAGTTTTGTTTTTGTAATTAGTGCAAAGTTAATCTCTTAGATATTGTCAATACATCAATGTCCTGAATCCCATTAACACGGAGTGAGTTACCCAAAAAACATAGATAAATAACAAAACTGCAATGAGTTACAGTGCCACTCTATGTTACGGAAAATATGCGATCGCTCTCCTAATCTCCTAGAAATAAACATTCAAAGGCTGGAACAAACATTGCACTGAAACCATAGAGTGTTTTTTTTTTGTTACTGTACATGAAGGAAAGTAGCCTATATGTTCTTTCTAAGTAAATGTCATTTATGTCAATATCGAAACACAGTTTAGTTTAATGCTGAGATGTAATGAGAATGTTTTTGATTTATTTGTTTTTGCTGGTTTTACTGAAGAGTTATAGCTCAAGTTTTCTATCGTGACATACTTCTGTTTGAAATTTCCAAATTACATTGAGCAAGTTTTTCTTATTTAAAAAACAATTGCATAAATCACAAATAAATGTTTTATGTGTTCACTGGTATTTGATAACTTGTTTGTAAGGCCATCTGGTGGATTTCAGCCATAATTACATGGGAAGAAAATAAACCATAGAAAATGTAAAATGTCATTTTTTCTGGTGAAAAACAAGATTCACATTTGAGCATATGACATCCATTACGTAACTAATAAAATAATGTTTCAATCCGTGCTAAACTATAACTGACTGAACCATGCATATATATATGTATATATACTGTATATATCCCTATAAAATCACGTTTCCAAGAAATATTAGAGAAGATATTGCAATACAGGGACCCATAACATCCTGGATGGTTGGATGGTTGTTGGTCCTTAAAAGATAGAAATGTATTATAAAGGAACTATTATTGGTAAAAGTCAGACTGTAAGATAGATTTTTTTTCCTGATTATTACATCCTGAGCAAGTCCATGCATGCATGCAAACATTTTCCTTAGGGCGATGGTTAGAAGATTAAAGCTGCAAAGCAAGCAAGTTTGATTCAGGTTAGCTGATTAATCTCCTGTGCTTCATAGCTTCCTAAATGCGCACCTTCAGCTCCCTATGGCCTAAAACATTGTGATGCCCTGAGACTTTCAGGGACCTGACAGATTTTTACTTATCGGAGAGCAGTGCAGACAAGGTTTTTTCTGCTGTGATACCACAGATGGGATCATCGCTTTCACATGCTCTGTAAAGAAACGGCTTCAATGACTGCACCTGGAGGGACAGCAAAAATGTTTTTTCGGTTCCAATAAGAAGAATTTGGCAGCATTTTATGGTTTTGTGTTTTTATTTAATGTAAAGACAACCAGCGTGGAGATGGAACTTGCGCTTGCTGTGAAGCAGACCATTACGCCAACAAGGTGGATTAATGATTCTGAAACGATAGAGAGTGAAAATGGAGATGTTGCAATTGTTGGGATGGGCCTTCGCACCTTGGTGTCCAACTCACAGACAGCCTTTTACATCATTCTGGTGATACTGGGAATTATTGGCAATACCATTGTGATTGGAGTAATTGGGAAGAGTGTGATACTGGACCAAGGTGGTGGACATAACTCGGACATCATCATTATTAATATGGCACTGTCCAACTTGATGGTGTCTCTCATGAGGAACACAATGCTTGTCATCTCAGACTTTGGCTTAGAGGTATGTCATCCTTCAAATGAACTAAGAAGAGTCCCTCTTTAGTGCAGAATTCACTTTTATCTATGGTGTTTCTACTGTTAATATACATTTGTTTAAATTCATTTCATGACTGTGTTAAAAATGTATTTTGCAGATGTACTCATCTAAAGGGTTGTGTCAGCTTCTCATGGGAGTTTGGGTGTGGCTGCGATCAGTCAATGTGTGGTCAACATTCTTCCTCAGCGCTTTCCATCATCAAACTCTGAAGCGCATTGCTCCTCCTGTTGGGAACCCTCAAGCTGTCCGAGGGACTCCAAAGAGCCTGCTTTTCAGTTTAAGCTTGATCTGGTTTATCAACCTTCTTTACTCCATTCCTGCTTTCATCTTTTCCACCAGAGGGAATATGAACTCTACTGAGGTGAGAACAATGAGATTAATGAATTTAAATTCAGGACCACACTATAACCATTACAATTTTATTTTGATTTTAATACAATCTTCATTCAAATAGAATATGAATAAATGCACATGCTCCGAGAGTTAAAAGAAGACATGAAATAAAAGATGGATTTTTTTCTTTGCGGGTAAAATGTTTTCCTGTTCTCATTTGATATAGGATTTAATTTGCTCTACACATTAGTCCCTTTAATGTGTTATTTTATATCATATCAAATTAAACTTTTCATAGGGTGACAGGTCTTGAATCTATTTTAATTTTCTATCCAATATAAAATTGCACGTTTGTTAAAAGACTGAAGACTGAATTCCCCTCCCTAAACCAACTTGTATTTCCACGTCTTTTTTCCTCTGTAGACCCTGATGCTGGTAACCAGCACAACGCGCCCACTGCTAGGCTGTGTGTGGAATTTCCCCTCCAGCTACGATGGCTTGGCGTATGCTACAGCATCGATGGTGATACATGAAATATTTCCCATCGTCTTGATGACATGTACCAACCTGAACTCCCTGCACACCCTCTACACGCATGGAAGGGTGCGGAGTTTAGCTATAGATGCCCCTATAATAAAGCGGGTTCCAGCTGAGAGGCGAGCTGCAAAGGTAAGACAGAGACAGAAGCTGGATGTGGATGTAAAAAAGGGTTAGGGGTTACAAAATCCATGTGCATGAGCAAAACAATTAAAATAAATGGTTAACTCTTCAAAGACTTTATTCGTAAATTCATTAGGCATGATCAGTATCCACTGCACAGTGTTAACATTTCTACTCCAGATATATGAACTTCTTTGTTTTGTGTGATTTTCCAGGTGATTCTTGCCCTCGTCATGCTCTTCATTGTATCTTGGGGAACCAGCATTATCTCTGTCAACTACTTCAACTACAACAAGGGTTCATCAACCGAATATCTTTTGGTCATCTCTCGTTTTGCCAATATCATTTTCATTGCATTGTCACCTGTTGTCCTGGCATTTGGTCACCGCCGACTCCGTTCCTGGATCAAGTCTTTTCTTGTTCACTAACAAAGCCACTAGGGGACAGAACAGCTGTTTGGCTTTCAGCAAACACGCTACTCATAACTATCTGTTACTGATTTGTCAATCAAATCTCAAGTAAGACAGTCTTTCAGAATGAAAAATATTCATCTAGATGTACACTATAAAATTATCTTCACCAGAAACATAAAGAAAAAATTGTAATACACATCTTTCATAACATTTCAGCCAGTTGTTTGTCCTTAAAAGATATTCCAGTTACAAAATGCAAAAGCTATGATAGCACTTTTTAAAATGATGCTAACCTTTCAAATTGACAAGCTATTTACAAATTAGAAGCTATTTTTGGGTCGTTTGTTCTTCATTTTTTACTCAGGGTTTTGTGTTTGAAATGCTGAATAGAGGTAGCATTCAGCTGTTTGATTCAAATTTATCCTCCAACTTTACTCCTTTTTGAACGACAAAAATTTTTTGCTTTCCTCCCTTCACCTTTGTCTTTGGTGACTCACTCCCCTTTCCAGTCTCATCACCATAAAACCGAAAAACTTTAATCCACACCAGTATCATGCCTTTAATTTTCTTCCTGAGCTTTCCGTGTCCCAGAGCGACCACCATGGGACTGAACCCCACAAATAGTGAAGCAGAAAAATGCGCTACGGTTAGGAGTCCTTCGGCATGGTGCCCTCCATCATGGTTGTAGTATGTCACTGCAGCGACCTGCAGAGCCCAGCACACCACAAAGAGCGACACCAGTGACATGATCACGTGAGCGGCCTTGCGTTCGCTGGACACGTGTTTGTCCAGCTCCCCGTGGTTTCCTCCTGCCTCTGATCCGGAGGTTACAGCTCGGATGTGTTTGGCCAGAGCGTGGAGTGTGGCCAGGTTGGTGCCGACCATCAGCACCAGCGGCAACACCTCGTTGAGCGCGAGCGACGTGGAGGCAAAGGCCGCGCCTTGCTCTTCCGAGGGAAACTCCCATATGCAGCCTAACAGAGGCCTGGTGGTACAGCTTATGACCATCAGCTCCACGGTGGCATTGCCGTGGACATGAGTGCTGTACACCAGTGCAGGGATAGAGAAGGCTAAATTAGCCCCCCACACCACTCCAAGCACAATCCATACTCGTCGCCTCTCGCGCTGCAGTGCAAGAGGACCAAAGCTCACTTGGTGTCGTCTCAGGGTGGTGCAGTGGAAGGCACTTAGAGCTAGAGTGACCCAACACCCCACGGCTCGCCACCAGACCCACAGCAGCATAAAAACTCTGCACCAACCTGGGGACAGAGACACGTCCAAGCCCAGATCCGATATGAAAATAGGCACCGTTCGAAAAAGGGAGGTCAGCAGATTGGCAAGTGACAGGTGCACCAGTATCATGTCTGAGGGAGGGAGCCTCTGGGATGGGCTCTCAAAGGCTGACCGAAACACCTGAGAGCAAAACAAGAAAGAGAAAGGTCATTCCCACTCAAAGCCCAGCCCGTAAAGCCTGCTACACACCTAAAATAGTGTATTTGCTTACCACATGGATGACCAAGATGTTTCCTAGGATGCCTGAAAAGACCAAAAGCCCGAACAGAATGGCATCTACAGTGAGGACCTGAGACATGACATCATCCTCTGCACAGCAGCATAGTCGGCTTGTTCTTTGGGATCTGCATGTAGGTCAGAGTAACATATCAGAGCTTCATGCACCACTGCTGCTCTTGGCTGTCAAGGTGTTTTTATATGTGCAAACAGATAAACAGAACTTTGCTGACCATGTTCATGGTAAATTTAATTTCGTACACTTGCACTTTCCATCCTTTCATCCATGCGTCACAAATTAAAATTATGTTAGCCTTTATCTGAACCAAAAAGAAAGATTTCAGTCAGTATAGATATCAATTAAAAGACTTAGCTCCTTGTTTTAATGGGCCACTAAGATTCTGATAATAAGTATAAGTATTCTATAAATCAATGACAGATTAGTCAATGGTCCAATGAAACCTGTCTGTTTATCTCACAGAATCAGCATTTGTCATCATCTTGCTAAGCCATTTGTATTGTCCCTTGGTACTAATTATTTGCTGGGTTCTCAACTTTCTCCCTTGGGAAAAAGCCATTGTAACATGAAATAATCTCTCCTACACACTGCCTGAATAAATGTCAGGTGCAAAAACCATTGACCATGTATACATGACCCAACCATTACATAAACTGACTGTTTTCTTTTTTTTCCAGCTGAATAAAGACAGACCAATGAGTCTAATCATGATTTAAATGATCACAGTGTATGTTTTTCGAATACACTTGACTCCCATTATTCATGGTGAATTATAAGAGTGGAAAAAAGATTGCGCTGGCAGTGATCCGGGGACTTTTGTGGGTTATGTGTTTTCTCCATGTGTGCATCAGAGGTGGGTTAAAGCTCTCCATTCAGTGGTGTTAGCTGAATTCAGGTTGTTTCGTCCATTTCTGACTGACACCTGAAGCACTGCGTGGGTTGATGACTCACTAACCGACTGCTGATGACTACATAGATTTTGTGCACGCACCCCAAGCTCCCATGCACTGCGAGGCGCGCTCCTCCACAGCAAGCATCAAAGCCTTCACATCAAGACAGACAGGAAGAAGAAGGCACATCTAATGGCAAGATAGCCGACTCCTCTGCAGGCATCGATATAAGTAAGTGGTTTTGATCCATGCCTCACCGCTGCCAACCACATTTGTTTTTACTTTTATCAGTTTGATTATTTTAATCCTGCATGCCTGTCATGAGCAAGGTCATACTCAACCATTCTACCCTCTGAGTGACCGCATGATTTATTTATTTTTTGTTACAGATTTATCATGGATGAGAAATCCTTTTGCAAACGGATTTTGTTGCGTGCACTACAATAGAGCTGTCCTATGGCGGACGCTGGCTCGCCTTGTGCCGTCGCCCATCTGATCCGCTGTGAGCGAAAATAATTCGACGTGATATGGCAAACCAACGCCGACCATCACTGCTCGCCTTATTGGCACTCTTGCTGAGCGCACTGATACTCCAGACAGCTGGGTCTCATCGCAGAGGCTCGGCATCATCATCATCATCATCACCATCGACATCCCCATCAGCGGTGAGAGGTAGGAATAATGAGGGGACGGTCTCTAACTGGCTCAGACCGACTCCCAGCTCCATTCAGGGCAATCACAGCCTCGACAGCAGGCCATCAGCGAGGCTTAAAGAGATAACGAGCCACCTGAAAAGCCTCTCGGTCAACACCAGCCGAGACAGTAATGTTACAGTCACACCTGAGAGAGCTGGACCCGCTCCGAGGCCAGGACCAGACGAGGGACCGTCACCAGTATGTGCCTACAGAGTGATAGAGGGAGGCATTTGGGGACAGCTGTGTTTTCGAGACACGCTGTTTGGGTACAGGTGCAACGCGGGGGACTGCAGGACATCGGTATCTTTCGGGAATCTTGTGGCACATATCCTCCTAAATGGCAGCGTACTGTTACAGTGGACCCACGAGGGAGAATTCGCCGTGACGGACCGACACACGGAGACTGCAGGGACCGCAGCCCGCGAGGGAAGTAGCGGGAGTCCGAGGACGAGTTCAGCACGGGACACTTCCAACATTGTTTTCGAAGAGCCACGCCAGAAACGTAGCGGCTTCGAGTTAAGCTGCTGGTGGAATGGAAGCTACACCCAGTTCGAGTGTGCCAGTGTGCATCTTGGGACGGGCTGCAGGGACTTTCTCCTGTCCGAGCTGCACGAGAACATCCCATACCGCATCTGTCTGCGCTCCTTGGCCCACTCGGCCACAGACAAGAGAGCAGCACACCAGCGGGACTGTGTGGAGTTTACCCTGCCGCCCTCTGGGATGCAGGACATTGTGATCGCCATGACAACGGTGGGGGGAGCCATTTGTGTGATGCTGGTGATCATTTGTCTGCTGGTGGCATACATCACGGAAAACATCATGAGCCCAGCGACACAGCACACGTACCCCTACCGCACTCACTCACATCACTGATGCACTATGAAAGAAAAGGCCACATGAACATGTTTTTCACAGCCATAGTCACTGTCAGTGGGCTACATTTCAACATGATGTTCTAACTATGACCAAACTGAAGCACAATCTACTGTGTCTCTAGAAATAAGATGCCATGTCAAGTTTTGCCAAGGTGTGCTGAAGTATACAGTTAGTGCAGTAGTTTGCTGTGTGTTTTTTTGCTCAGTTTCTGCCATGTAGGCAGGGTTAAACAGCAATACAAATAGCCCAATAAATGTCTCTGTTGCGAAATGTGCGGCCTGTGACAGTTTCCTAGGACCGAGTAAATAAATGAATCCTGAATTACATGGTTTTCTTGGTCATGTCATCCATCCTCTGGTTTCACTTTTTGTTTGTGTCCAGTGGGCAGAATATTTGTTTCATATTGCGAAGGCAATACAATGTACTGAAGTGTAAGATCTCCAAAAACTGTGCCAAACATGAAGTAGAACACATTTTTGTCCTGCTGACTGCAAATAAAGTACAATGTGATTGTTTTTAATACTTTAGATTTGCCAGTTATTTCCTCCATTTGTGTCAACTTGTAAGCCTTCATATTCAGTTCATTGTCTAAAAACCTGTTACAGATAGGAGCTACAAATATCCAAACAACAGTTTACTCGCTGTGGCTTTGGTGCCATGGTAAAAGGAGAACAAAGGCATGAGAAGTTCTGTTATCTGCGGCCAAGACCCTAAACACTTTCTCTGGCCTGCTAAGAACAGTACTATGGAGTTGAAATATATCTGTGAAATGAATAAATGTTCTAAATACTGCCACATCAACTGCAATAACACCAAGATCATCCTGATCCCGATACCTCCATCTCACTATTTCCCAAAGGTCTGTATTGAAGAAGCAAGTAACATGATTGAGGTGGAAGAAGGATTGTTTGATTCTGAAGTAGAATGGAGAGGATCTTGGTTGGGGAAAAGCAGAGTAACATAGAGAACTACAATGATTCAAGTTTTACTACAACAATCATGTTATAATAAACAATACAAAAACAAGAAATACTGAGGCTAAAGGGTGCTGTAAAAAGTTTTCACGTTGCAGCAAAATGTCTAACAAACAGCTTGCTTACTGATTTGGAAAGCCAAGCACTAAAAAAGCATGAGATCTGTTAACTTTAAACCTAACCTGATTAAACCTAATCCTCTGTGCGCATAGACGCAGCGGCTCACAGCTCTCCGTATTAGTGCTTTTTTAATGTTTATCTTTTGTGTTTATCGTATATTGTTTGTTCGTTTACACACATTATGAAACAATACAGCCGTCTGGATTTACTAGACATCGGTTTCAAATTGAAGATGACCATCTCCGGCGACTTTCACCGAACTCACAACATTCCGGACGAAATAGCAAGACCAACGGGATCCCCGTGGATTGTTAACGGGTCTGTCAGGCGACGCAGACGGAGATGCGAGAGGAAACAAAAACGAGGTTGCAGGGCTGGTTTACTGCTAAAACTAAGAAAACAGCCACTCAAACCTCCGTTGCCGAGCCTCTACCTTACAAACGCCAGATCCATTGTACACAAAACGGACGATTTGGAATTACAGTTGGCTGGTAACCGTTATGTTCGCGATTGCTGTGTGCTTATCATCACAGAGACATGGCTACACACACAAGTCCCCGATGCCACGGTGCAACTAGTAGACCACACACTACACAGATGGGACAGGAACAGTGACTCCGGGAAGAACAGAGGAGGCGGGCTCTGCATCTATGTGCATGATGGCTGGTGTAACAACAGCACTGTCTTGGACAGACACTGTTCTCCTGATCTGGAATTTATGTCGGTGAGATGCAGACCCTTCTTTCTGCCTAGAGAGCTAGCTGCTGTTGTCATCACTGCAGTCTACATACCACCAGACGCTAATGTAAACATGGCTCTCTCTCTACTGCTAAATGCCATCAATACCCACCAGCGCGCCCACCCTAGTGGAGTCCACATCATTGCAGGGGACTTCAATAAGGCAAATCTAAAGACTGTATTACCAAAATTCCACCAATATGTAAAATGCCCTACAAGAGGGGAAAACACTCTGGATCATGTGTATTCCAACATCAAGCATGCGTACAGAGCTGTACCCCTTCCCCACCTGGGCCAGTCAGACCACCTCTCCCTGCTCCTAACTCCAGCATACACCCCTCTCAGTCGACAAACAAAGCCCACAAAGAAGACCATCACCACCTGGCCTGAGGACGCCCTCCCCCGACTACAGGACTGCTTCGAAAATACACAGTGGGAAGCCTTCTATCACGAAGACCTGGAAATATTCACAGATGCAGTACTGTCCTACATCAAGTACTGTATTGGGAATGTCACTGTTGAAAAGAGGATCTGGGTGTTCCCAAACCAGAAACCCTGGATGACGCGCCAGGTCCGTATGCTCCTCCGGGCCCGTGACTCAGCCTTCAGGTCAGGCGACAGAGCATTGTACAGCGCCGCTCGTGCCAACCTGAAGAGAGGCATTAGGACTGCCAAAGGTGAATATAAGAGGAGGATAGAGGAACATCTAAACAATCCAAGGCAAGTGTGGCGGGGCATACAGACCATCACCAATTACAAAGGCTGTGCTGTGACACCCGGGAACTTGGATGCGGGACTGGCAGAGGAGCTGAACAGCTTCTTTGCCCGCTTTGAGTCTCACACACAGCATCCAACCTCATCACTCCAACAACCACCACAACTTCAACCAGCCCCCCAGCACACCTCCTCCCCCCCACTTACTCTTAAGGCACAGGACGTGTGGCGGGTGCTCTGTGCAGTGAACCCCAGGAAGGCTGCAGGTCCAGATGGAGTACCTGGGAAGGTGCTCAAGGCATGTGCTTGGCAGTTATCACAGGTCTTCACAGACATATTCAACATATCTCTGCAACAAGCTGTCATCCCACCCTGCTTGAAGTCTGCTATAATCATCCCGATCCCTAAAAAGTCACCCACGACCAGCCTCAATGACTTCCGCCCCATTGCACTCACTCCAGTCATCACCAAATGCCTAGAGAAACTGGTTTTGAGACACATAAAAGCCTGTCTCCCCCCCACCCTGGATCAGCACCAGTTTGCATACCGGACTAACAGATCCACCGAAGACGCCATAGCCATCGCTCTCCACTCAGCGCTGAGTCACCTGGAGCAACGGGAGAGCTACGTCAGGATGCTTTTCATTGACTTTAGCTCAGCTTTTAACACAATAATACCGGACATTCTGATCCCTAAGCTAACCGACCTGGGGGTCCCACCACCCACCTGCTCCTGGATAAAGAACTTTTTGGTCAACCGACCCCAGCAGGTGAAACTGGGTCCTCACCTCTCTTCTTCCCGCACTCTCAGCACTGGCTCTCCACAGGGCTGCGTGCTGAGCCCATTACTCTACTCCCTCTACACATCCGACTGCAGTCCCGCCCACCCAGAGAACATCATCATCAAGTTCGCTGATGACACAACGGTGGTGGGGCTGATTACAGGGGAAAACGAGGCGGCCTACAGAGATGAGGTCCTGAAACTTGGCGAGTGGTGTGCATCAAACAACCTGGCACTAAACATCAACAAGACTAAGGAACTCATCCTGGACTTCAGACGGAAGAAAGCCGCCCCTGCCCCCCTGTACATCAACGGTGGATGTGTAGAACGAGTGGAGTCCTTCAAATTCCTTGGCATCCACATCTCTGCAGACCTCTCCTGGTCAGCCAACACCACAGCTCTGGTCATGAAGGCCCAGCAGCGGCTACACTTCCTGAGGGTGCTCAGGAAGGAAAAACTAAAACCTCAGCTGCTGGTGACCTTCTACCGCTCCACCATCGAGAGCCTGCTGACCTATGCTCTGACAGTGTGGCACTCCAGCTGCACGGAGGCTGATAGGAAACGACTGCAGAGAGTGACAAACAATGCAGAAAAAATTATCGGCTGCCCTCTGCCCTCTTTGACTGCCATCTACAACTCCCGTTGTCTCAGCAGGGCCAGAAACATCCTGAGGGACACCACCCACCCCGGCTTCCATTTCTTCAACCTGTTGCCCTCAGGCAGGCGATTCAGGTCAATACGGACCAAAACAAACAGACTCAGGGATAGCTTCTTCCCAAAAGCTGTCACCTTACTAAATCAACATCTAGTACTCCAGTTGTACTAATGTATTGTATATGTATGTATGTGTTATTTATGTGTCCACTTTACGGAGCTGCTCTCCAAATCTCATTGTACTGTGTACAATGACAATAAAGGCTTTCAATTCAATTCAATTCAATTAATATGCAGAGAAAATCATTGACAAATACAAATGTTCTGGTTCATTCAATTTATAAAACAGCCTGCTGTAGTGTAAAAGACGTTCTGCTTTTCTAAAAGACTAAAAGTGGGTCACACAATAAAAAAACATGTTCTACTCTCATCGTAGCTGCAGTGTGTGCCTCCTTTGGCAAGCCGTTTTAACATAAATTCGGTTCGTCTGACTATCCGTAATTACATTCCAGATATCTAAAATTGCATTTTGACTAGACAAAACTACATTTTGACTATCCGGAATGGTAATTTAAGATATCTCTATTTACATTCTTACTAGGAAGAATAATAATTCAAGATATCATTAATGTCATTTAGAGATATCTTAAAAGTAATTTTGACTAGTCAAAATTACAATTCAAGATATCTTAAATTTAGTTTTGTCTAGTCATTATTTGCTTTTAAGATATCTATAATTTAATTTTCACTAGTCAAAACTACATTTCTCCTATCCAACAATACATTTAAGATATCTTGAATTATGGTGTCATTTGAGATATCTTTAATTAGAATTATGACTAGTCAAAACTAAAATTGAGATATCTTGAATTTACTTTATGACTAGTTGTAATTTAATTTTAGATATCTGAAATGTGTATTTCAGATAGTCAGTAATTCATTGTAGATATCTTGAATTGAAGTCTCCATACAACTCAATGGTAAATCTGACGTCATTTCGACAAGTCAGGATGTAATTAGAGATATCTCAAATAGGTATTTTGACTAGTCAAAATATAATTAGAGATATCTTAAATCGCTAAAACGTCTAGTCATAATACAATTTGAGATATCTGGAATGTAAGGGCGGCAAAACCGAATTTATGTTAAAACGGCTTGCCATATGCCTCCACTCCACAGCTTTACCGACATCTCGTTGTCGTCACAACATTTTTCTCGTGACAGGAAGCTCCGCCCCCTGGATGACATCACTCAATAAAGCCGCATTCAAGCCACGGACCTCCGCCATTTTAACTTCCTGCCTCAAAAGACGAAGAGCTCATCGCAGAGCATTTTTATTTTCGTACGCCATATCATTTAACTGTATTTAGGGGTGTATCTTGTTAATTTTCACCACAGAAATCAAAGTTTTGTTCTCTTGTTAGTTTCTGACAGATTGTGTAGGTTATTTTCAGCCGGAAAGTCGCAATGCCGAGCCACCCGCTGCGTGTAGCGGTTGTGTGCTCGAGCAACCAGAACCGCAGTATGGAAGCGCACAATATCCTCAGGTAAAGACGAGTCGCCAGAGAGATGGAAATCAAGAACAGGACCACGAAGTGAACGAGGTCTTTGCGGTATCGAGTGGGTTTCTGAGCCGGCCACGAGCCATGTCGACGCGGTGACAGGCCTTAACGCAGTTTAACAATGGACTCGCACCTCGGAGTGTCCCACGGAAGCTGAAGCTCATTTTTTTTTTAAACTATGTCATTTTTATGTTTCGTCGAACTGTGTTCACACAGATTTTTGCTTCCAAAAACGACCAGGGATTTAAACAAAACAACAAAAAAGGTCCAAGTTCTAGGGTGTTTAAAAAAAAAAAAAAAAAGATTTCCTCCCCCACATGTTGACAAAGGCGCCCCCTAGTAGGAAATATTCCGGAAGAATGTCACTGCAGTTGTGCAACACGGTTTTTTTTTTTTTAATCACTCCAAAAGTCAGCGTGTTTCAAAACACAACTAGAAGTTTTGGCTCCAGAGTGATAAGATTTTTTTGGGGGGGCTGAGATGTGCTGTCTGACAGCCGTTCAGTTCTGAACGAAAATCGTGGGATTTCAAAGCATTTGTCTCACACAGGAGAATCAGTGATCGTTTTTTTCGGTATTTTGAGGTTTTTAATGTTTGTATCTCGACAAATCATTATACAGAAAAGGAGAGCCTACACACCACTTGAACGGCAAATCACAATTTGTTTTGGGGTTTTTTTCCAATATGCTGCAATGCAGAATTTATAACAATTATGTGTATCTACCATGCTCTTTTTATAAGTTGTTGCATAATTGATTGCCTTGTCCTCTTTTTTCCCTGTTTTTTTCTTTTTGTTGCAGCAAACGTGGATTTGATGTCCGATCATTTGGGACAGGGTCCCACGTGAAGCTACCCGGTCCTGCCCCGGATAAGCCTAATGTGTATGACTTCAAAACGACTTATGAACAGATGTACAACGACTTGGTCCGCAAGGACAAGGAACTGTATCCCCTTCACACTCACCTGTTCCTCACACACAGCATTCATATATCTTTAGAAGCTACATAAGTGAACGTGACCCATGTACTGTGACTATATTCTGATGGTTGTGGGAGTTTTATGCAAGAGATGGCCTTGGACCAGCACTCCGATGGGTAAAGCACACAGAGGAAATTAAGTGTAACAGATACAGGTTTGGTTATAAAATCTGTAAAAGGTGGGGTGAAGACTCATCCTTCAGTTAAACAGTAAGTGTTGTTTGTTGGAGACTGACATCTTTGATAGTCAGAAGTCTGATCACTCTGAAATCATAGTTTGTTTCTTTTTTAGAGGAACCGCTGCAGTTTCTTGTCAGTACAATTTTTCTTTTTCTTTTCCTTTTATCTGTTTTTCTGGATTATCTTTTTGAACTTTGGTTGTGTGCAGAGTAAAGACAGTAAGGGAAGTGAAAATATGAAATAAGAAAATGCCACAATGTTAAAATAAATGCAAATAGTTAAAGAAAAAGACAAGGAGCATCGATTTCAGTCATCAAATGCAATAAAACCATGGACAGTTGAGTTCATTTTTAAAATAAAATTCTTAGATAAACAATTGAACAACAATTGAGGATATCTTATTTTCCCATTTTTATACCCATTAAAGTGAGGATTACCAAAAAAGAACTTTGAATGTTGTTATACAGCTTCTGTAGTTTCCCAGAAGAGTCAACAATTGCGTCAACAAGTGCGCAATTTCTGCACTTTTAATTTGTATATTCAGTGCTGCACTTGAATTGTATTCTTACTCTTGTGGGTAAGTAATATTTAGCAGCCATTGTTTCCTCTTTTTTTGTTTCAAATTTTATCAGTAAAATGATTTGTATTCAGTTAAGCCTTCTACTTTTATTTTTATACAGAGATAAGGCTAGTGGGGACATTTCAGAAAAGCCTCCTTGACCTCATCTGTTTTGGAAGGAAAATAGATTGCAGGCTTTAATTGGGAAAATGAGTTCATCAAGGTTTGACTTGGTTTAGCTGCTAGCTGTTGCTAATGCATTGCAGGTCTGGCTTCTGACAGCCTATGGTAAGTTAAGGGCGAGTGTATAATGTATAGGGCAGCATGTTAAAAGCTGCCCTTTATATCCCTGTGTATTATTAGTTGAAGCTGCACAGACCACCTATAGTCACACCTCTGGTTTGCTTGTATTCATGCACTCTAAATCTCAATAAGTGACCACAAGACACGATGCAAGGTCATGGGTAAATGGCTTGTTTTAGGAAAAAATCCATTTGTATTCGTCTGATGGTATTTTATTGAAGGCACTCATATAAAAAACCTATGGGATGAATGCCGTCCTGCCTGCAGTTGCACTTTAAAGGGAAAGTCCACAACTTTTATTTTTTCCCCCTACATTTAACTAACCAGCTATCGCCACTAGGGGGTGCTGCATCCCCGGCTTTTGAATGACAAAATGACACCCCTCCTGTGAGTATGTTTACTCATGGATGCTAGGTTTTCCCAATAGAGAGAAAAAAAATCCCAATCTCTCCAGGTGTTTATTGTACTTTTTGAGTCAACAGTTGTCATACGTTTGCTTTGTTGCCTTAGTTTCTCCCTGGCTGCTGTTTTCCTTGACCTCCCTGCTGTCAGATACACACAGAATGGCATCCTGCACATGCTGGACCGCAACAAGCGCATTAAATCAAAGCCAGAGCGCTTTCAGCACTGCAAGGACAAGTTTGACCTGGTCATCACCTGTGAGGAGAGGGTCTATGACCAAGTGCTGGAGGGTGAGGCGCCTCATGGACACTGTTGGATAACTGAATAGATTTCCACAGTTCTTTTTATTTAGATCTCTTTTTTTTTCAAAACAAGCTGCTGTTCTCTAAATCCAAAGTGCCTAGTTTTAAATGGATGTCGTTTTGTTCCTTCAATGTTTTTGTTGCCCCACAGATCTGAATTCGAGAGAGCAGGAGACTCTCCAACCTGTGCACGTTATCAATGTAGACATTCAGGACAACCACGAGGAAGCCACGCTGGGTGCCTTCCTCATCTGTGAGCTCTGTCAGTGTGTGAGTGTCTCCTCCCAGGGTTCCCAGATTTTCTATCCATGAAACAATTATGCTGGTTGCTATTTAAGTGTTCTCAATTACTCTGCTGTGTACTTATAAAAAGGCTTGATTGAGTGGTCGCTTTGATAATCTAAAATTAGATGACTGTTGGTACCCCGCCGTGTGCACACAGGGGCTGGGTCTGATGCGTTTTGCTCTTCACCCTGCAGATCCAGCACACAGACGACATGGAGAATGAAATCGATGAACTCTTACAGGAGTTTGAGGAGAAGAGCAACAGGCCTTTCCTCCACACTGTCTGCTTCTACTGATACACAACACAAACGAGCAATAAACACAGACCGGGATCACACGCAATCAAAGAATAGAATATGGACGTGCGCCCCTCTGGCACGGCGCACAAACGCTGTGCGCCGGCACAGACGCGCCTGATGCTTTGGGTCAGGACAGAACGAATGAGTGCTGTTGGACGTTGTGGTTACGATGAGTTCTTCCTCTGAGGCCGAGGACAGACTCGCTGCTTTCACTCTGCCTTTATTTCTCCAGATCGAGGTTAGGGCCAGGGCTCCCAACCATCCCAGTCAAGTGAAATCACACAACCATGTCTCCTCAGGGAGAGCCATGACACCCCCCCCCCCCCCCCCCCCCAAGATTCTTCACCCCTCTATAAGCCCCTCCCCCTTTGTTCAAGTCAGCATATTTGTGCTGCTATTTCTTTTCCTCTGATTTATAATTGCAATTCATTTTAAGCATATTTGACAAATATTAATTGTAAGCTGGGACAATGTACATGTGTTTACACATAGGAGGAGCATTAGTTGAATTATATGTATTATTTCTGTGCAACTATGTGTTGTATATTAGTTAGGATTAAGTTAAAGACGGTGAGCCGATAATGAAAAACCAAACCAAGACTTCTCAGAGGCTCTCCTCCAGTGTGTTTCCAACATAATGTGCTGATGCATATTTAAACCCTGACCTGCTGTTTATCAGGGCATAGTGGTTTTTTTCTTTTGTAAATGTCAAAGAATTGAAGCATTGTAATTATTTTCTCAGCTCTGAGTGCCTGATTTTCTGGATGTATATATGAATCTACTAAAGAAACAAATGTCTGAAAGAAATACCATGTCTCTGTCTGCTCTCTGATATGTATTCCAGCATGAAGTGGAGATGGGTATTACTCTGAGATGTGACCAGTCACATCAGTCTAGCTGTAGAAATCAGAGGCCCCACTAACTTGAGCTTCCCTGGCTTTCCTGCAGGCTAAGTCTTGTGTCACACATGAATAGCAAACTTAAGGGAAAGACAAACAATTCAGCTGACAGACTAATAAACAGTTGTCCTACAAGGGCTAACAATCCTAACAGAAAGGTTGCCAGACCTCCAATCTCACACAGAAACTCGACAGATGGCAGTGTTCCATCATTTGAATTAATAAATTATAGGAACGGTTATCAGACCTATATGTGTAGCTGTGCAAAGGATCACTGATCCTCTGTCCATTAATCAAGGTAGTCATGAAATTCAGGTTGTCTTCAAGGTTTTCCACTAGTGAACAAGTTTTCTTTCTGTTGGGTATTTGACTCCCAAGTTATAAAGGGGATGAAGGGGATTCTCACGACATTGCATCATCTTTGTGTCTCACTGACTTATTCGTTATCAGTGTGTGAGTTTGAACCTTTTCTCTTCATAATTAAGTGCATTGAAAATTTTTCCTTCAGTGTTTATTTCACATCATGAATTGCATGTATTGCTGCTTCATTGAAAGAGTCCTGGAACATGGTTTATCTGGAGCAAAATGCATGTTCAGGGCCATACCTGAAATGTCAGTTCTACCTGATTCTCTCATGAAGAAATAAAGAGTAACAAAATAATGAGAGAATACACGAAATGAAGCTGAAATGGGATTATAAAGGCCAAACATCGGCACTCAGTGTCACTGTCCAGTGCATCTCAGCTCAGTGGATCTGAGCATTTCAGAAACTCGGAAATGCTGAGGTCCCGAATGGATTACCATCAAACAAACCGTAGCTCTGTTTGTGGAGGTCATCGGCAATGTTCGGCATTTTATTGTTGTGGAAATCACTTCAGAATCTTTGCTTCGTATGAAAATGTGGATCCATTTAATTAACTCAGAGACAGTTCACTTTGCACAACATTTATAGTGTGATTACAGACACTCCGTCTGGTTTCTATGTAAAGTACACTTTCACGATGTACGCATAATATCTTAAAATGAAGGAATTCCAGGCATCGTTTGTGTTATGAAAGGTTAACTGTTTATCTCTCTCAACTGTGAGCTAATCTTATGTCATTAAGAAAGTCCAACAGGCCCTTTTGGCTAGCAGTGACAGACTCGTCAGTTGAGAGGGCCGGACACTAATCATCTCTTCACGAACACTCAAACGGGAGTTCCATCCTTCGGGGGAGGGGTAGCACCCTTGTCCTCTTTCTCCGTCTTGTGGTCACTGTCAGTGGCAGCATCGGGCTGACTCTTGCTCTCCTCCGGGGTCTTGGCCTCTGCTTTCACGGCCTCCTCGCGGTCCGGTCCAGCCGGGGGGGCGGCCGCAGACGGCTCCGTGTCGGCGGGGGCTGGCCCGCTCTCGCTCTCGGGTTTCGTGTGCGTCTCGAGGGCTTGGCTGATCAGCTCCTGAGCTTGGGGCGCCTCGCTGAGCGGCAGGTTAAAGCCCATCTTCCCTCCGATGCCCGCCGCCCCGGCGGGCGGGGGCGTGAGGCTTTTGGCCTGACCCTCCTCCTCTCCACGCAGCCAGTCCATCTTCTGGTGGTGCTGCTTCACCGCGTCGTCCACCCGGGCGTCGATCATGGCCTCGGTCAGCACGCCGTCTTCAGAGGAGTACGCCGCCGCCTGAGGGGAGACTTTTTGTTTTCGGCATCGGGGGAAATACAGATGGCTTCTGAAACTCAGAGTAAAGGTGATGGACACAAACATACCTGCCAGGCAACGCCCAGCTTGGAGATCTCCCTGCCGGACATCCCCTCTGTCCGCCCTGCTATTTCAGAGCACTTCTTGCCGTAGTCAAACTGTGCCAGCTTCATCCGCCTTCACACACACAAATGCAGACAGAACAGGTCAGAAAAAAGGTCAGAACATGGCGGCTTACAGCTCAGACACACAGGGGGGCCGGTCTTCCACCCAGAGGAACCCCGAATCTTTCTGCTCTTTATGCCCAAGCGAGCCCTCGGTGATCCGGATCTCTACGTGTGACTGGGTGTGCCTGAATGAGAACGGGCTGCAGTGGGGGGGGGACTTACTGCCTTCCTCCAGTGGCCGGCTCCAGCACGTATTTGTCGAAGTACAGCCGCACCAGTCGCTCCCTCTCCTCCGGGCCAGGCAGGGCGAAATTCACTATTTCATCTATACGGTCGTTTATGGCCCAGTCAAACTGTTCCGGCTGGTTACTGGCCAGCACCAGCATAAACCTGTTGGGGACGAAAAAAAACAGGAGCTGTCCAGGGAGCTGATCAAACTGGTGGAGGTGTGTGTGTGTGTGTGTGTGTGTGTGTGTGTGTGTGTGTGTGTGTGTG